AAGCTATGTGTACATTCATAAAGGCAGACATTAAGCCAACATTTGTGAGATTATAAAATAGCATGAGTAGAAACCAAAGCAATTTCGTAAAAGCGTCCTCGAGCACTGAATGAAGCAGTGTTCACTGGTGGATTTTTTCCCCAGAAAGAGGAGCGGTAAGCATAAGTGGAGGGAGTGAACGTCTAAATTAAATAAAACTACATGAAATCAGAATAACCGAGGAAGGGGTACGTTGGGGAAGGGGAGGGCAATGGGAAGACATTGAAGGCACCAAGTAGGCGGTTAAACTCAGGCCACAGCAAACGTCTGGGCTTCAGGTTATATTCGATTGTGTGTGTGGGACAACTTCAGAAAGCTGTACAACGAAGACAGAGGATGATTCGTGCAAAAAGCAAGGAAAATTTGGGGAGTGTAAGGTACACTCGTATTCCCATGCAAGCGAGTTTTCGAGGAGCGTGTCTGCATCCAAACGAAGTCGTTGGGACCTGACTAAAAATAATAGTTCCGCCCCCTAGGATTGCTCGTGCATATATCAAAAATGACTCAATTAATAGCAAGAGAAGGCGGTGGTTGTGCGTGTGGGCAAAGAAGAAAGGCTTCATCTACAGAGACAACTTCTCCAAACATTTAGTCTCTTCCTATTGGAGAGTGAAATTTGAATTGTACTCCTCTTCGGGCTCACCCTCCTGATTTTCGTTTATGAGGAAACGGAGGATGTCAGAGAGGGAGACAATACCGAGGACGTGATTACCCTCGTCAATCACTACAAGCCGGTGAACCTGTGCAGAAAAAAACAAAAATCTTCCTTAATATTTCATATACTGCCGAAAACATTAGGTCTGAGAAGAAAAGGCCCTAGAATCATTGAGGAAACTATGAAGACTGCAATCAGCAAGACAGTTCAGCGTAAATTTGTTATGAAGCACTAGAGTCAATTTGGGTACATAAGAGACGGAAAAGGGAGTGGTGTCCTACAATCACCAAAACACCGGTTCTCCACCAAAAAAGCATTTCACAAGCAAAAAGAGAACGCAGGAGCTGGAGATTAACAGAGGCCCGAAAATTAGCTATCAGGACCCGCAATCAAAGA